TTTTTTTTTTTTTGTCAGAGCCGGAGCCTCCCCGTGGCCAGGGAGTGAGCTGCCAGCAGGCTGAGTAACCCCTGAGCTGTTGGTGGCCCCAGTCCTTTCCTCTGTAGCTGCAGTGCCCCACAGGGCCGCCTGGGCAGGCCAGATGCTGCCCTGGCTCAGAGGCAGCACCCAGCTCGATCCAACTGTTTCCTAAACCCACCCAAGGAGCAGCACCCAGATGGCTTCCAGCAGGCAGGCTTGGGGAAGAGTTGGATCAGGCCAGGTGCTGCCTCTGAGCTGGAGCAGCCCCCAGCCCACTAGCAGCCCGCCCAGGTGGCCCAAGGGGGTGCCCACTGCCAGAGAGGGAAGCACCAGGGGCTCCCACAGCTAAGGGGCTGCTCAGCCCACCAGAAGCTTGCCCCCTGACCACAGGCAGGCTTTGCCAAAAAAACCAAAAAGGATTGGGCTCCTCACCTGGCTGAAGGCAGAAGCAGCAAGGGGCTGATCCTTTCTTTTTTTTTCATGGAGCCTGCCCACCTCTCCTGTGGATGGGGCAAGGGTTGCGGATGAGCTGCCAGTGGGCTGAGTGGCCCCTGAGCTGCAGGGGACCCCAGTCCTTCCTTTTATGGCAGCACTGCCCTGGGCTGTCCAGGCAGGTTGCAAGCGGGCTGCGGGCTGCCCCAGCTCACAGGCGGTACCCAGCCAGATCCAACTGTTCCCCAAGCCCACCAGAGCTTCCAGTACCCAGTGCACTGTCCCCAGCACCTTCCTGCTATCTGGGATAGCTTGGGAATGGGCTGACTTGCCCCTGGGACAATGCAGAGAAGTGGCAGGAGGGCAGCTGGGTGTGATGGCAGCCAAAAAAGGAGGTGGGGGTAGTGCGCAGGTTGCTGGAAGTCTGGACAGGTTTGGGGAAGCTTGTGATTGGCAGGCTTCCAGTGTCCCATGCACCATCCCTGCCACCTTCTCCAGCCACCAGCATACCAAGCCACCCTCCTGCTGCTTCTCTGTGCTGCCCTGGTCCTAGGTGGTCCTAGGCAGTGGGAACAGTGCACAGGGTGCTGGAAGCCCTGGCAGGCTTGGGGAAGAGTTGGATCTGGCCAGGTGTTACCTGTAAACTGGGGCAGCCCTCAGCCTGCTAGCAGCCCACTTGGGCGGCCCCAGGGGGCACCACAGGCACAAAGGGGACTGGTGCCCCTCAGAGCTAATGGGCTGCTGGGCCTGCTGGCAGCTTGCCCCCTGGCCACAGGAGAGGTGGGCAAGCTCTGCCAAAAAAAAACAACGATCAGATCCCTCACTGCTTCTGCCTTCAGGCAGGTGCCTGCTGAAGGCAGAAGTGGCAAGGGGCCCAATCCTTTTTTTCTGTGGAGCTTGCCCACCTCTGCTGCAGCTGGGGAGGCAAACTGACAGCTGCATCATTGCATTTTGCAACATTGCAAAGATAGTTTAGTCTGCAACAATGCAAAGATATTTAAAACTCCCAAAACTGACACACATGTAATGTGTGATGCCATTATGGCACACATATTACATTTTCATCATATGTACATCATGATGACCATCACGTGCACAAGCACACAGAGCCTAAAATAGCTATAGTGATATCTGGCTACAATTGTGACCTTTGGGGCCACCAGACAGATGGCAAAAGAGAGCTAAAAAATCTCTCTATATATCTGTTTTAAAGATTCCCATGTTTATTACTTTGAAAATCCCAATAGAGAAGAGACTGGGGCTATAGCTATCTGGGACATGGGCAAGCTTTCCATGAACTTAAACAGGAACACTGCATGTGCATCCAAGTAAAGAACTGGTTCTTCGCACCTGCTTACCTGCAAGATTTTGCTCTTTCAAATCACATTTACAAGATAAAAGACATGGAACAGAACTGTGATATTCTCAGGATTATGAACCTTTAATTGGTTTTAGAGTAGGGCAAACCCTATGCAGAAGCAAAAAGTGATGACTCATGCATATACACAAAACATGAGTTTATGTAAGTGTATTACTTTTTGACCTGTGTCTGCCTAGCTGTTATGTATAACACCCAATTATTATGGTACCTTACAGGTTTATTAAAATGATCCCTAAGAGGTACAAAGACATACAGAAAGGTTCATTTCATCTACACCTTACATACAGGCACCGCTGCTGCGAAAACAAAGCAGAACACCATCCAATATTTTAGGAAAGGAGGCAAAAGATACTGTACAAAATTAACAGTGATTTTAGGCAAGCAGGGTACCTGGGAACTGCTGAGATTATATATTACTACAACACATGGTATGGCTGCAACAGTGCTAATTTAGTGTAAGGAACTGAAGCATGTTAGTAGTCTTTATACTACAGTACTCGGCCAGGGTGCCACAGCACTCTTGGTTGCCATGAGATCCTTTGAAGGGATGCCACATGTGCAGGAGGTGCAATTGTGGGATTGTGCGTTAGATCCCATTGCCTCTTACTGCAGGTGAGTAATGCATGATCCTGGGCTCTCCCTGCATGGGCCCCCACGGCTGTGAGCCACACAGCTGAAAGGGAGCAGCATTCCCTGCCGTGCCTCTGAAGCAAGCCCTGCAGACAACATGGGCTGTGGGGCTTACAGCGGGAGCAGTGCCAGGAGTGCTGCCCTGTTAGGAACCTCATCAGTTGTGGGGCTCCCAGCAGGGGCTGCAGGGCTCGCAGTGAGGACAGTGGGGAGAATGCTGCCACCACTGCAAGTTTTATCGGGGCACAGCTCACAGTGGGAAGAATGCTGCCACTGCTGCAAGCCTCAGCAGTGTAGGCTCACAGCTGCAGTAGCAGTCTCCCTGCTACCTGCCTTGCACCTCACAAGACTCGCTGCCCCTGCTGAAAGTCCCACAGCTGCTGACACTGACCCTGCTGTGAGCCCCGTAGCCAATGAAGATTACAGCAGCCACACCATTCTCCCTGCTGCAAGCCCTGCAGCTGATGAGGCTCACAGCGAGAGCAGCACTGAAACACTGCCACCACCACAAGCCTTGTCAGATAGAGGCTGGCAGCAGGTGGTGAACCCCTGTGGCTAGGTTAATCACACCCTAAGTATAATGTGTAGAGAGGGCCTTAGGTGTGCAAACACCTACACATGATTTACAAGGCAAACCTAGAGTTTTCAAATGGGAATCCACAGATAAGTTCTTTGCAACAGAAAAATTGCTCTAGTTTTTTCCATAGTCAAAAAACAAGTGAAAGGTAAAAGCTGGCATTTTCTGAGGGCTGCCTGGAGTCTGAAAAGGTTGAGATCACTGCCACAAAAGTTTAGAAAAGGCTTCCAAAATTTGCTCATGACCTTTTACTTGACTTAATGCCAGCTTAGAAGTCCTTCTACTCTTCATTTTTAAGCAAGGCTTTATTTCTAAATGAAAGCCATTCATATCAATCAATGAATAATGCCATATTTCAATACTGTACTAGTGACTAGATTTGGTAGTTTTGTGTGCTCAAAACCTTAAGGGGGACCATTTTTCAGAAAAAAGTGATGCATATTAGTTAAAAAGCCCTTTGGGCTGTGTGCGTATCAATCTGCTCAGTATCCAGCCCATGAGGAAGACATGTGTCACACCATGTGTGTCTGCAGCCTTTCAAGACAGAGGGAGAAAACACTTCAGACAGATGGGCAAAATACCAAAAGTATATAGTTAAAACAGATAAGTTGCCCTTCTGCATCCACTCTCGTAATATCAGAGTTGATAAAACTTTATGCAGCAAGTAGCAAATATATGGGATTTGCTATTATAGCAAATTGAGGCAGTTTAATGAGAATCAAAAGGAATTCTGAATAGATATATGACCAAATATAATTTAAAGCACTTCACTCTACTGGAAAACTTAGTTCAGATCAATGATGGAAAAAGAACATAGCCTTCAGGACATGTGCAGATCAGGAGGGTCTTGTAAATGAATCTATTTTCCCTTGGCTTGGAAGATTTTCACCTTTCACATGAACTTTCTGCATAGTCCATTGCCAGAGGCAGGTTACCAAAGGACAACCATTCTGTTCAGTTATGATACCACTGTGTTTCTTAAATACACTGTTTCAACAGCAATGAGCTATTTTAAACCCTATTACAGACATTACATACCAAGAATGGTTGGCTGGTCTACATCTCTAGATACCAACTTAGAGAACCTTTGGCTATTTCTCCTGTTGTCAATCCTGAAAACCTTCATTAAAATTGCATGCCTTTAAACACAAACCAAGGATCTCAGAAAAATACATGGGGCTCTGATTTTCAGCAGGCCTTTCTAAGTTGCAAGAATTCC